CCCCCCGAAATTGGGAAAACGTTTTTTGTAAGGGGGTGTTTCCTCTCACCCAGCGCTTTGCAGTGCTCGGAGAAATCAAAGTTTTGCACAGAGACGGGAGGCTGCATTTGGAGCCGGGGGTGGAGGGCAGTAAAAAGTGAAGCCAGTTTGCAAGGGGCAATCTGGGAAACCTGAATAAACATGCTCTCTATTTCCCTTTTAGCCTTTGCTGGAAGAGAGTCGAACTTGGGACCATTGTCGATTAGTCCAGCAAGTGAATCATGAGGTGAGAACTTTCATTTTGCTGTTGCTCGATTAGTCCTTGTTTACTCTCTTTTTCTCTTCTCACTTCTGTCCTTGCAGAGGTGCCTCCTGTCAGGTTTCCAACTGATCTCCCTCCTGTGTTACTTCTTAATATTCTTTTGTGTTTGTAAAAGGAGTATATAACTGTTTATGTATGTGAGTGGGTGGCTGAAAATAAATCTGTCACTTGAATCCAAGTTCTAAGAAATAGAGAGCAGAGGCTTCTACTATAATTTTTTTTGCACACACAATGGTAACTTTCCATTTGGCATCAACCCTGCTTTCTTTACACTAAAAAAATTAAGCAGAACAAAACTTGTCTAATAGAGAGCAAAGGAGAAAATATGTAGCATAAGATGAAGGAAAAAAACTTCACATTGATTATGCACGAGTGTCTAACTGGGTTACTTAAGAGCATGTCATTCTAGACTGGAAAAGCATATCTTTTCTTTCCAATTAAGCAATGGAAAAATCTCTTGTATCTGTTTATAGTTTCTTACTCATGCTAGGTAGCTGCACTAAGGTCGCATCTTCCTCTTTAAAGTACTATGCTTTTGAACTGCAGGTCACAAAATGGATTCAAGTAAACCAGAGAGCAAGAAAAAGGAGCAAAAGGAAACGAAGGCAAGATGAAGTGGCTTTCCAAAAGGTATGAGTTCCTGATGTGCATTTATGTTATGAAATAAAAGGAAGCGCATCCCAAACCTTTTCAAGGGACATGTTTGAAAATAGTTAAAGTACCATGTTCTTCTATGCTGACTACATAGAAAAAAACACCATGTATTGGTAAAGTTTTAACATCTCTGCATTTGCTATGTATAAAAACGACATTCATATTTAATAAAGAGCCTGAAAGGCATTTTGAGACTGAAAGATAAGCACACTTTCTTAAAAATGTAATAGTAGTACTTCCAGTGTACTTGTTACAGTTACTGTGACATTATTTGCCAATAAAAAGGAATGCTTCTTTTGAGAACAAGTTAATAGAAAATGCAGTGAGTGTCAGTGGGCAAATTAGACAAATACAAGATGTATAGCAATAAATGTTATGATTGCATTCCTAGACCATTGTTTCAAACTACACATTTAAAAAAAGTCTTCCTGAAAACACAGTTGTACAGCTTTTAGTGTTTAGTCCTTAAAACTCTTTACAAAAGCGGTTTTTGTAACTTAGTCTAAATTAATACCAAAGATTCTTAATCTTGTCATTTTTGGTTAAATGTGCTGTAAGGCTACCATAATTGTAAATATTAAGTGTATAGTAGAATAAGGTAAGTAAAATCTGACTCTTTTTCTGTTTAATAGCTCTTCTGTGCTGCATTTAAAAAATCATTGACATTTGATCTAGAGCACAAAAATCAGAACCAGGATTTTTTTCATTTTGAATTTACTGTTTTGTTTTAATATCAATCTTTGTTCATGATATTTTAATTCTTTAAAGCTATGTTGTTTTGCTTCCTCTACAATGCTTCTAGAATGTATGATGAATCATTGCTGATTCTGTAGCCAAATTCTTACTGATAGAATGACTGCCAACTGCTGAGATGTGTTGCCTTAGTATGGGCATTGCAGTATTTGACAAATATCTGCAAAGTACATTATTGTGCGTGGGTCATATACAAGTTTCATGGTGAACTAAAGGATGCAGTTTGATCATTTTGAAATGAACTGGAGAAAAATGAATATTGTATTTTGTAACTGAAGATTCACCGTATAGTGGAGGAATAATGCATGTATTTGTACGGATTAGTTTGTGAACCTATAATTTAAAAGCTAAAGCGAAATATCAGTAAGTTTTAACAAATTTCATTTCTTATTGTACTGTATGTTTACATGAGAAGGATTTGAAAAGTGTGTGTGACAGTGTGAATATTTAGAGTTGTTTTGTGTGATTCCATGATGGAGGTTTACGTGACTCTAGTGACTTCTTCTATTCGAGTAAAAGTTATAAAATGATGAAGAGGTACTAACTTGAGCAAAACCATGTTTTCCAGGTATTTTTAGACATTGCTACAAGTATTTTGATTAGGGAGGATGGTATGCTTGTGGTGTTTTTAACCAAAAAAGTAAAACTGATCCAAACTCTAGCTGGACAAAGATATCCGTATAAATGAAATGGTACAGAAATAAACTTATCAGTATAAATACATTTATATTTGGATAATTCCATTAACACCATGGAGATTTTCTGCTTTAACAGTGTTTGTATAGTTAAATCAGTATAGCTTTTTGTGTGTAAACGAGCCATTAGGAATGCAAGAAGTACTGTATAAAAATTTAAATCTAAAAATCCCTAAAGAATTTCTCTTTTTTTTGTTTTGTTTTGTTTTGTTTTGTTTGAATAGTCCTTTGTAAGTGGAAAAAGAACTGACATTTGAAACAAAAGTAATTGGATATGTGCATTAATATTAATGATTCCTGGCCCATCCCTCCCATGGCCAGCAGAGATTGAATGCTGTAGAGTCAGCATACTCAGCCCCAGAGAAAGAAAGAAAAGTGCTTTTTAGTGACTGTATGTTTGATGAAGGAATGGAGTCATCAAGGACTGGAGAGAGGAGTTCCATCTACTTTTCAGTCAGAGTGGTGGCTGCAATGTTGAAACAGTGAGGCAGTGATAACTTAAAGAAGACTAAGAGGGATTCTTCTGAGATGCTGGTCTCAGATATGTTTAAGGAACTGAGTTTAAACTTTGTTCCATTTAAAATTGTTACCAACAGAATTTGGCCAATTTGTATTAAGAGTGTTCTAGACTTTGGGCTGTGTTCACACTGGCAGTCAAAACTGTTATAAATAGTGTCTAATGAATTTATGCACTGTTTCCCACCATGACTAAAAGCCAGTGTAGAGGGAAGGGGCCTTGAAGAAAGAGAGGTGTAATGAGCCTGGAATGGAAGATATAGGCTGGGAATAAATAAAACAGCTGTAAGTACTGTCTGGTTATGTGTTTCAAGTGTGGCTAAAAACAGTGACTCAGTGTTTTTCACCAGAACTCAAATAAACTACATCTCGAATCTTGCATATGTCAGAGCATGCAGCTAAGTTTTTTACTGTAACTTCTGAACTTTTAGTTCTATGCTTTTCCTGTCACTTTCGTTTCTGTACAGTTATGCTGGGATAATTACATTTCTTCTCCTGTATGATTTAACTTTATCATTATCAGCCCCTATATGACACACACAATCAAAGCAGCTGTTCATGCATGTGATCCTTGTGGAATAAGGGGAAAAGAGAAGTTATGGAGTTGCTGAAAAATAGTGGTGAGTTGCAGTAATTAGGTGTTCTAACTGCATTCTACACAGCTTAAAGAGGCACTAGGTAAAAGTATTTTTACATGAATGCTTGAAAATAAATGCTTGATATGGTCTGCACTAACTAATAGTGCACTGCAAACTGAAATTTTAAGTGGACTGCAAAACAGTGGGCAAGGGACAATGGTCTGTCTAGATTGAATTGTGTTAATACGCTCCATAGCGAAGAAGCTCACAATGGATCAAGGCAACATAATGAGTTTATCTAGAGAAGAGCCAGCTCTTAGAGTACTAATTGAACATTCTTTGCCTTGGCCGCTTGTACAATCTTAATGTTCTGTTTAATTTCCTTCTTGTTCTAGCCCTCCTCTTTACTCAGGTTTTTTTGTATTGTGTTTTACAGTTTGTACATATTTTCACCACTTCTTCCTCCTTTCCATGTCCTTTTCCATGTTTTATATTTTTTTTGCATTTACTTCTAGTCCTCTTTTCTGCCTTTGTCTTTCATTCTTTTGCCCCCCCCCTCTCCCCGCCTTCTATCTATGCTAGTCCATTGCCACTTCCCCCTTTGGTCCTGTGACGATGTCCTTATTTCCTTTTCTCCATCTCTTCTCGTATCTGTTCTGACGCCCTTCCCCTCTCCTCACTAGTTGTTACTGTTTTGTCTCTTATTCTAGTCAATAGGCTGTCGAGCACATCGAGCAGATTAGTAGTAGGTATGTGTACAACCGAGAAATATTTTTGTGGGAAAGTGGTGGGATGAAATAAGAGTCTGAGACAGGACTCAGTTATTTGTAAGGTGCTTTGAATGTGAAAAGTCTGATAGAAGTGGTAAATATTATTTTGGGCTTTCTCTATTTAGAGAAGTCTGTTACTCTTGCCAATTTTAAGTACTGCGTAGAAGAAAACAACATTGTAGTCAGACTAGTAGAGTCATGGTATGCATGTGATCTCCATTTGCAAGGGCGTTCAAAGGAAAAACACTCTTTATTAATAGGCCAGTGAAAGTCTACATGTTATATGTTACCCAAATTTCAGCATCCCTGGTACCCCGCTGGCTGGAGTTCAATATTGAAAATGAAATGCTGATATGTAAATTACTTTTGGAAAGCTGTGAAACTGCCTATAAGCTGCAGAATTAGTGCACTAATACAAAGTAAATAATGATTTTTTGAAGGGCACTGAAATATATATAATTACAATATATAAAGAAGGTTTAAATATCCCTATTGTCTCAGTTGAGTGCTTTGTTCTGTTGAGAGTGAGGGATAATTCAACTTTTCAAAATCTCTTCAGCTGGTTGCTTATTAAATCCTTTTTTTTTAT